TAGATGAACATCAAAAGATTGTCAAGCAGGTCTTCGAAATCCTCCGAGAGCATAAATGAACCTGCAAACCAGAAAAGTGCGAGCTTGAAACTGAGGAAACGGAGTATTTAGGTCATATTATTGGTCAAGGAACCGTTCAGATGGATCCTAAAAAGGTCCAAGGTGTCACGCAATGGCCGACGCCAACCAACAAAAAGGACATCCAACAATTCCTGGGGTTTGCAAATTTCTACAGAAAGTTCATAAAGGATTTTGCTGCCATCTCCCAACCTATGACCAAACTCACCAGACAAGCCGAGTGGACATGGGGACAGGAGCAACAGGAAGCGTTTGAAACCCTCAAAACAGCCATTACAAAAGCACCAGTACTGACAGTACCCAACGACCATGACCAATATCGCATAGAGTGTGATGCATCTAAATATGCACTAGGAGCAGTGCTCTCACAAAACCAAAATAATACATGGAAACCCATTGCATTCCTATCTAAAAGTCTCAATCTGGCAGAACGTAATTATGAGATCTACGACAGAGAAATGCTGGCAATCATGACAGCACTCGACGAATGGGACAATTTCCTTCGCGGTGCAAGACAGCAATTTGAGATTTATACTGATCACAAAAATCTCGAATATTTCAGAAAGCCGCAGAAACTCAATCAATGCCAAGCGCGCTGGGTCCTAGAACTCCAAAACTATGATTTTACCCTAATCCATCAACCGGGTAAAACTATGATCAGGGCAGACGCATTATCCCGTAGACCGGATCATGATAAAGGCGATTCTGACAATGAAAATGCTATCCTATTAAAACCTCACTGGTTTAGAAGCACGGAGGTGCTAGGCACCGAAGCCTTAAAAACCAAAATATTATCACACGTACATAATTATGAAGAATCCATAAAAGCAAAAATACTACAAAAAGACAAGGATTTCTCTCAGACCAAGGACGGCCTGATCTGGAGGATGGGGTGAATTGTTATCCCCAATGACAAATCACTTCGAGGTTTAATTATTGCTTCGCATCACGATTCAATTTCTGCTGGACATCCTGGTCAGATGAAAACACAGGAATTAATTTATAGATCTTATTGGTGGCATAACATCAAGAGAGACGTGAAAGCTTATGTAAAGGGATGTGACATATGCCAAAAAACAAAAATAAATCCTCAGCAGAAGGCTGCGCCTCTACATCCTAATCCTATTCCTGAAAGGAATTGGCAATATATATCTGTAGACATGATTACACATTTGCCACTTTCGCAAGGATATAATGCTATAATCGTGATAGTCAACATGAAGTCCAAAGATTTCGTTGCAGTACCAACCACGGATGAATTGACTTCAGAAGGCTGGGCGAATATTTATATCAAACACATTTGGTCAAAGCACGGGCTTTCCGAACGTATCACGTCAGACAGAGGACCTCAATTTGTCTCGCAGTTCATCAAAGACGTGTACAAAAAGCTGGGATACAAGGAAACCCAAGCACGGCGTACCACCCACAAACTGATGGACAAACCGAACGAATCAATTAAGAGATCAAAAACTATTTAAGAATGTTCATAAATTATCGACAGACCGATTGGCCTGAATGGTTACCAATTTGCGAATTCATCTATTGCAATAGACAACACTCAGCAACCGGATACTCTCCTTTTTATTTAACCCACGGATATCACCCTTACACAGACCAATTTGTCACAAGGATGAAGAAGCTGCAAGAAGAGGCATCGGCCGCTCTCAAACTCACCAAGGAGTACATGAAGGAAAAATGGGACATCAGGAAACGAGAACCGGTAAATTATAATGAAGGGGATAAGGTCTGGCTTGAAGCAATCAACATAAGCACAGATCGACCAAACAAAAAACTTGATGACAAACGATATGGACCATTCGAAATTGTCAAGAAGGTCGGAAACAGTGCCTATAAGCTCAAGTTGCCTAAAGCATGGAAGATCCATCCTGTATTTAACAAAGTGCTCCTCAC